CATGCCTCAAACAGGATTGAGGTCCCAGGATAACCTTCTACCCCAGGGATTGCACCCAGGCCTTTCTGTCGTTTTACAAAGGTTACAGCCAGCCAGGCGGTGTGGCTGAGACAAGGGTAGGACACGCAGGGAACTTGAGTGAGCCAGGTGAGCATTCTTACCCAAAACTCAAGATGGGCAGCAGAAACCGGAAGATCTTTCATTCCTTCCATTCCTGAAATGTGTTAATTGTATGAAATACTTCTCTTAGGCCGGGCGCGGTGGCTCACGCCTATAATCCCTGCACTTTGGGAGGCCGAGGTGAGAGGATTGCCTGAGCCCACGGGCTCGAGACCAACCTGGGCAACTTGGCAAGACCTCATCTCTATAACAAATCAAAAATTAGCCAGGCATGGTGGCACATGCCTGTAGTTCCAGCTACTTGGAAGACTGAGGTGGAAGGATCACTTGAGTCCAGCAAGACAAGGCTGTGGTAGCCATGAGCATGCCATTGCACTCCAGTCTGGGTGACAGAGTGAGAGTCTCACTCAAAAAAAAAAAAAGGAAATGTTTCTCTTAGCGAAATGTCTCTTCACTTGATTTGGGGTTTATACTAAATGTTTCTCTGAATATATATAGAGTAGCATTTCCCAAATGGTGTTCTATAGATGCCACTGTGAGACACTCACGGGTTTTTGGGGGAAAAGAAAGAGTTCCATGATCAACATGTTTGGAAAGTTCAAGATTAATCTTCAACAAGCCTCTTCACTGCAGGACTTCTCTCAGCCTTTACTATGCCAGTGTGCATTATTAATCCTGAGCAGGCAGATCTAATGTGCAGTGTTTTCTAACCATTTGAACCTTATTTTTATGAAATTTCTGTTAAAGTCTCCTGGAAAGCTAATGTCCTGAGGACTACGCTTTGAGAAACACTGACATAGAAGATTTTCATTGTTCATAAATGAACAATGGTGGCTAGCTGTTTCCCATATTCTTTTTTTTTGAGTTGGAGTCTCACTCTGTCGCCCAGACTGGAGTGCAGTGGCCACTCTCGGCCACTGCAGCCTCAACCCGCTGGGCTCCGGCGATCCTTCCACCTCAGCCTTCCGAGTAGCCAGAATTACAGGCATGTGCTACCACACCCGGCTGATTTTTTTATTTATTGTAGAGCTGAGGTCTCGCTGCCCAGGCAGGTCTTGAACCCGCGGGCTCAGGCAATCCACTCACCTCAGCCTCCCAAAGGCGCGGGATTACAGGCTGACCCACCGAGCCCGGCTGTTTCCCATATTCTTTTAGAAAATAACCTTCAATAGCTACAGAAGAGTCTATGCTTAGACATAAAGAAGAATTTACTAACTGTAAGGAGTCGAACTCTAGAGTGTCCTGGGAAATTTCAGTAAAAGAATATGCACTGCCTCCCTTTCTAGTCCTTCGACAGGCTATCCCATGAGTCATTATAAATAGAATGAATTGTCAAGGAAGCTTCTGGAATCTTTTTATCTTAAGGGGCCTTTGAAAGTAGGATATAATTGAAGGATAAGAAGGTAGGAATGAAAAGGTAGGAAGACATATTGGCTGACTTCTGGATAGACAGTTTCTAAGTGTGTGTAATTAACTCATTCATTCTTACTCTGCCCAAAATGTGCATTTAGAGGAAATACCTTTCTTACTCAGGTCTCCAAGACAAGCAGAACAAAAGAAGCAGAGGGCCAGAAGCTTCCCAAGATTTTGTGGGAGTATGCTAGTAACTATCGTATTTGCCACATGCAGTGCTAAGCCTTTGCGTACATTTTGCTTGTTCCTTGAAACAACTGATAAGGTGGCTAATGTTATTGTTCATTTTTTAAAAAATGAAGATCTAATGCCCAGAAGGATTACAGACCTTGCTAAAGGCCATACAGCCAGTATGGTGCAGGACTTGGATTTAAACACTGAAGCCCTATCTGCTAGTTCCTCCCAACTGCCACTGTGAGTCTGTGGACATCCAAGACATCAGAGCTTCCTTGAAAGGGTCCTCCTTTCTTCAGGCTGTGCATATGGGGAGAGGACGGAGGTGGGATGATGAGTCTGCCTGCACTGACAAGGAAACGAAGGGAAAGAGGACATTTTCCAGCCTTCACACACCACGGCCCTGCACCCCAGTCACCTCACCCTTTCCAGATGCATCTCTTCCCATTTAGTCGCCTGCCCCCTTGCGCCTGGTGCTTGTCTGCAGTGCAGGGACAGCTGCCCTGCTAGGGACAGAGGAGATGATACCAGCTTATGAATCAATACATTCTCTGGCACATCCCGTTCCCCTAGTGAGAATGTGGCAGGATCCAAAACACACTTAATCCTCATCTGACTCCACTCTGTCAGGAGTAGGCGCTCCAAAGGAGGCTTTGTAATTCCAATCTGTAAACTGAAGCTAATGAGGCCAGGGTCTGGGCAGGCGAGCTCAGGCCTGCAGCCTGAGGCCTTGGAGGTACCGGAGAAGATGTGGGCAAGGATGCAGGGGAGGTGCAAGGGGCCTGAGCAGCCAAGTCTTCAGAGAAGGAGGCTGCCTGCAGGAAAATTGCATTTCCGCTCGGCTAGAGAGTAAGCCCAAGGCACCTGCCATCTGTCATGTCAGGCTAAGTGGCTGATGAGTTAGTCCTGGGATCTTTCAATACTGTGTGTCCAAAGGGTGTGGAGCTGTGTGCGAGGCTCTTGGGTTGAATGTGTGACAAATCTGACTTCAGTGTGAGTTGATGGTCTGACCTACATTTGAAGGCGTTTTTCCAGGAGTGAGGATCAGCGAGCTGAATAATCCACACTCTTTTGCCTGACTTCCCTGTTTAGGACCAAGGGAAGTCTTGGAGGGCCGGGACTCCGAGCTCAGAAGAGGACGCTGCTCCTCTCTGTAACACTAACTGACCTCCGTGGCACTCACACCTGCAGGCTAACACTTGGCCCCAACTGGGTGATTGAATGAGGGTTAGGAGAACTCCCTTGAGCTTCTAAATGTCACTGTCCAGACGGGGTTTCTCTGATGGCTTCACCTAAAGTAGCAACCCCACATTCCCCTTCCCTATAGCTGAGATGATGGAGAATTTGTTTCCTCATTGTCTGTTTCTCCCACTAACCTGCAAGCTCTCTGAGAGCACCAAGTGTATCTCTCATTGATGTCCTCCATGCCTAGAACAGTGTCTGGCACACGATAAATGCTTAAATACCGAGGAGTGTGCCAAAAAAGTATATACATTTTAAGAGATATTATCTATGTATTACTTTTCAAAGTTGAATTGAATTATGGTAGCAAAGTGTAGTATGACATTCGCTCAAAAGATGGCATTAATCAAATGAATGCTAGCAGGACAGTCAAAGAAAATGGTGGAAGCACAGTTACCATTCGAGGAGTGCAAGGCCATTTTGAAGTGGTATTTGAAATTTGAGAATGTTGTGGAAGTACGACAATGGAGGCTTGAGTATGCAATGAAACCTCCAACACACCTAACAATTGCCTGCATTCGTGATAAGTTTGAGATGCATGGTACTGTGGGTGATGTGTACAGAGGAAGATATGGGAGGCCTCACACAGCAAGTCCTGCAGTAGTTCGCCATAAACAGAAATGTCTGGACACTGATGGTAACTACTTTGAGTACCTCTTATAAGTGCAGAAGTCCAACGTGACTTGTATTCATGCTTTGTTATCAGTGTATGTTAAGTATTACAATTGTATTACAGTTTTTTCCTTACTTAAGATGTGTGTACACTTTTGGGGGGCACCCTTTGTATTTTTTTTTAAAAATTTTAAAAAAAAACAAAGGCACCTCCCTACCTGCTGACCGTCAGTTTGAGACCCTTGGAAAGCAAACTTGATTTTGATGCTTCCCTACGGACGGCCCCCTCAGGCTCCATCAGGCACAGGACAAAGTGTAAGCTCCCTAGCCTGGCATCTGGGCCCCTGCTGACCTCTCCAGCTTCATTTCTTCACCATACCTCTCCCAGGCCCCATGTATCCTGTGTGCTAACCCACACTTTGGGCGCATAAGACTTAGGGACCTGCTGGAAATGTGAGCTCCTGGGCCTCAGCTTTCCAAGATTCAGATTCAGGTGGGGTTAGGTGGGGTACAGCAATCAGCACTTTTTACATTTACATTTTAATTTTAGAATCGGTGGTACAAGTGCATGTTTTTTACGTGGACATATTGTGTGGTGGTGGGATTGGGTCTTGGATGGTCTCGATAGTGAACATTTTACCTAATAGATCATTTCTGAACCCTAACCCCCCTTCTCGTCTTCTCCCTGCTTATTGGTGTTCTCAGTTTCTATTATTTCCACCTTTGTGATCATTTAGTTCCTGCGTGCAAGTGAGAACATGCGGTATTTGGCTTTCCATTCTTGAGTTAGTTTACATAGGATGATGTTCTCCAACTCCATCCATGTTGCTGCAAAGGACAAGATTTCATTCTTTCTTATGGCAGTGTAGTATTCCAACGAATCATCACATTTTAAAAAAGAAAGACAGGTGGTTCTGATGGTTAAATCACACTTTAGGAGTGACGTTTTCATTAAATTACACCATGGGCAGCTCACTGAAAGGGTCATGTACTATCTCACCTCTGTGCCTTTGTACACATGGTGATTTCTGGCTAGAGTAGCCTTTGTCTCTGGCAGCACCTCCACATTTTCCACCTGGAACATTCCTGTACACCCTTCAAGACTCAGCTCAAGCATCATACCTTCCATGGACACGGTGCTGCCTCTGCCCCTCACATGGTTTCTTTTTTTTCTTTCTCCATTCGGTGCCTCTGGTATATATAAACATCGCCTGGAGATCATTCTGTTTATGTCTCTTTTTCTTCCCACACCCAACCATGGCACTGTGAGTTCCCAGAAAATAACTGCTCTTAGTAACCTTTGGACTCTTGGTTCCCAGCAGCATGTCTAACATTTATTGGTCTAGAATGAGGCACCTGGATGTACTCTAGCAAAGCCCACCCTTCACTTCACCCCCTCCTGACTCTGTTTCTCTATTTCTGATGCTGGGTCTTTGCAGGAGTTCTCACTCCAGAGAATGGATAGCCTTGTGGACGATCGTGTCAACATCCTGGGATTTTCCATTTTCAACCAATCCCATGCTTTCTTCCAAGAGTTTGCCCAGAGCCTCAACCAGTCCTGGCAGGAGAACTGCGACCATGTGCCCTTTACTGGGCCTGCGGTAAGTACCCACCCGAGCTCTTTGTGATGCCCCTTGGCCTCCCTACACTTGCCCTTCTATGGGCCAACCTCTGGACAACAAGCCCTCATGGAATCCAGCCTTCTTCTCCTTTCTCCATTCCCTGCTCAAAAAGAGAGACATATAGAGGTGCTGCCAGAGATAAGTTTTGGGAAGCAGTGATCTCTAGAACAACAGGCTTGGTTGAAAAGACAGGAGGAGGCACCCAGTTATCATTTCGTGATGTCTGTCATTTAGTGATGTCTGATAATACTATTGCAGAGCACGGCTAAGTGTAAGATCCAAGAATCTTACTACTGGAAGGGGCTTTTAGCCAGTCTACTCTCCATTTTTCAGAGAAGGAAACTGAAGCCTAGGCTGTGATGGGGTGAGGAAAAAGAATGCAAGGCTCTTGCTCAAAGCCAAACACCAAGCCTGTGGAAGAGGATTCTGGCTCCTGGTCTGGGGCTCTTTCCATCCCCCTGGGCCACTTCCTAAGTAATTTCTCTGGATGAGAAGCTCCCTTCCTGTCTTCTCCTATGCTTCCTCTTGGTAGTTCCTTCCTCCTGCTATGTGTATGATGGGAGAAAACCTGCCCTGGCCATTCTCCACTGGGTTGGATGTCCAGAGTTGTGTGGCTTTCTCTGCTCTGTTCTAGCCATTGTTTCATTTTTAAAAGCTCCATGAAGCAACCCTTGTCATGCCCACAACTTCCCGAGGTAACTAATATCAATATCTCCATTCTACAGATGATAAAACTGAGGTCTGGAAAGGTTAAAAAATAGCCCAAAGTCACACAGCTAGTGAGCAGAGGACTCAGGATCAGTACCCAGGCCATACAGCTTTACGGTTTATGCTTTGGACCACTGTGCTATTTGTGCCTCTCTCTTGCTAGGATCATCATTTCCTTGCCACTCTGTACTGTCATTGGTCCTGCCATAATGAAAGTGAAGTCATGCACACATAATGATGTTTAGGTCAATGATGGATTGCATTTATGACAGTGGCCCCATAAGATCTTGATACTGTATTTTGCTGTTCCTTTTCTGTGTTTAGATACACAAACACTTGCCATTGTGTTATAGATGCCCACAGTATTCAATAGTCACATGCTGCACAGGTGTGTAGCCTAGGAGCAATAGGCTATACCATATAGCCTAGGTGTGTAGTAGGCTGTACCACCTAGGTTTGTGTAAGTACACTCCATGATCACACAAGGATGAAATTGCCTAATGACATATTTCTCAGACAGTATCTCCCTCTTTAAATGATTCATGACTGTAGTCAGTAGGTATTTGTTGAATGAATGAATGAGTGAGTGAGTCAGATGGAATGATGAGTTAGAGATAAAAAGAAATGGAAAAGAATTAGGCCTAGGAGATGGAAATGGAATTGGGTCCTCCTGGAGTGGGAAATTCTCTAGTGGGTTTCAAAAATAGGCACAATACCTATCTTTGATAAGCCATGCCCAGAGGTAAAGGCATGTTTAGACATCTACACACATGGGGGTCCAATTAGTGGTTGACCAATGTGGTGATCCGGGGGGCCTCCCTGAAGCCAGTGGGATGACATAGTGACCTTTCACAAAACCTTGTGCCTTTATGATTGTGTAGCTTGGTGGAAATCTTAGGAAGGAAGGGTAGCTAAGGAGGTCAGAGCTCATGAAAAAATCAGGAAGCTTTGATCCAGAGAATCCTACAGGAGAAGAGGTCTAAGAAACAGTTTCATGGAAGGTTTATGGAACATGTCCCAACAAGCTATTTTAGATCTAAAAGAGGCAAAAATCCATAGGAAGGATTTGGCGGCAGGCAGGGGGATCTGACGCCACATCCCCATTAGATGGCTTAAGGGACAAGAAGGGACATCCTCAAACACAGTGTCATGTGCAGCATTGGAGTCGTCACCCCCTCCCCACCACAACAGGAATACAAGCTCTGTTTTCCTGGCCAAATCAGTGGTTCTTATGGCTATCACTCTAATATTTTAATAGGTGCTGATAAAATTGAAGGGCTCACAGCACAATATCAACAAATGAAAAAAAATGCCCCTTCCTCTCCAGCCCAAACTTACTACATTTGGCATCTGGCCTAATGAAATACAGGGTCCTAGGCTCTATTACCAAGTTCTGTCTTGAGATGTCAGACCTTGCACTGATGCATTCTTTGGCCATAAGCAGGCGGAGGAGTGGCTCTTGGTACCTTCTGGGATCCTTCATAAGGATCCAGCACAAAGGCCAGGCAGTGCCTTTCACAGAGCTGCAGGCAAGCTTTGGCTATGGTCAGACATGCTGGAAAGACCACTGGCCTCGTGGGCACAAGACTTAGATTCAAATACTGATCCTGCCATTTTCTTGCTGTGTGATCTTAGATATATAACCTCTTTAGGCCTCAAATTCTTTATCTGTAATGTGGGGTTACTTATGCTTGACCATCTTGGAGGATTATTATAAACATAAAATGGGATATGATCCTATCTTCAGTTCAGTTATTCATTGACTATGTTTATGTAACAGCCTATATGCCAGATGCTTGGGTAGGCATTAGTAAATATATCAGATAGCTTACACTACATATATGCTGTGTGAAAACCCACCCCCAAGCCTCACTAGCACACAGTGCACATCTATACAGCTTAGGCATCTGAGGGTCAGCTAGGGTCAGCTCATCTAAGGTGGCTCAGCTTGGCAGCTCTGCTGATCCTTCAGATCAGTGCATATGTGTTGTCTGACCTGGGCTGGGCTGGGCCGGCTTGGGGCCGCTGTGCTCCATGTACCTCTCACCCTTCCCCTGAGCCGGTAGGCCAGCCGGGCATTTTTTCATGGTGATGACAGAAGGGCAGCAAGACAAGGGGGAACACAAAGCCCTCTTCATCCTAGGCTTCCAGAACAGGCATATCCTCACTTTGTTGGCCAAAGGAAGTCACCCAGGCAAACTCAATGTCCTGAAGTGAGGAAATGTACCCTTTCAAGGGAAAACATGCAGAGTCACATGGTAAAAGGCCTGAATGTCTGACGTGGAGGGGGTGAGGGATTGGGTCCTATCATGTAGTCTATTCAATAAAGAAGAGTCAAAGTCACTGTCCTTCGGGGTGCACCAAGCTGGAACAGGAGGCCCCTTGCCTCCAGGAAGATAGTTCCTAGGGGTGTGTTCCTCTTGCGGAAGCAGACAGAAACCCCTAAATTCTGCCTGCAGAGGTCACAGAAGGCCTTCCAGAAGAAGGGGAGGCAAATAACTGGATGCTGTGAGCAAGGCATGGAGCAGGGGCCCTGGAGAGGGTGTCCTGTCATGTGGAAGCAGCCCAGGGTAGTTTTGTTTTTTTTTGAGTTGGAGTCTCACTCTGTCGCCCAGACTGGAGTGCAGTGGCTATTCCCGGCCACTGTAGCCTCGACCTGCTGGGCTCCAGCGAACCTTCCGCCTCAGCTTTCCAAGTACCTGTAACTATAGGTGCGCGCTACCACGCCCGGCTAATTTTTGATTTATTGTAGAGATGAGGTTTCGCCAAGTTGCCCAGGTGGGTCTCGAACCCGTGGGCTCAGGCAATCCACTCACCTCAGCCTCCCAAAGGCACAGGATCCAGGGAAGTTTTAAAAGATAGAAACCCTGACCTCATTTGTCTTCTCTGTCCCGTCTTAGACCTCCCAAGGCCTCAGCATCTCACACTCTCCAGGAATGTTTGGGGGCATCTGGTTAGTGGGAGCCTTCTCTGAGGCTCTCTCTGTGCTGGGGGTGGAGACCAAGAGAAAAGGGAGGCTGAGCCACACCCACTCAAGGCTGCCTCAGGATGGTGTGAGGAGACCCACTGAAGGCCTTAGGCCTACAGCTGGTTCCTGTTCTAGTCACAGACTCTACTTTTACTTCCGTCAGCTTTCTTTCACTCAAGCTCCTTCAGTTTTCTTACCAATAAAATGGGTGAGTGGGGCGCTCATCCCATTGGGTTTCACCTCGGCACAGAGCTAAAGATTCCTGTAACCCTTTCCATGAAAACTTCCTCTTTGACCTCTTCTCCTCAGGGCATCCTAGTAGCAGTTAAGAGTGATCATGCACCCTTTTTTGACAGATGGGGAAACTGAGGCACAGAAGAGCTAGGTGGTACATTGAGGTCAGCTGAGGTCAGCATGCTAATGCAGCCTGGACTAGAGCCTACATCTGCCTCTCAGTACTGGAGAACCTTCCGGCCATTGTCTCTGAGAGGGAAGAGAAAATGTTATAGACACCTCGGAGTGTGGACAGGAAGTTCACAGCAGTGACAATAGTAACAAAGCTCTCTCAAGGCTTCTCACTTTAGCAGCTACCTTTTGAAAAGCTGTGCCTCTTCTTGTCTCTCTGGGGGCTAAGAAATTCTCAGCACAGACAGCCTGGCTCTTTCATGTACTGGGGAGCTGGAAGGCGAGAGGGAGGCAGTTCCCGGAAAACAGCCTGGTGTTGTCTCCCTCATCTCCTGCCTTCTACAAAGACTGCAGCCAGCTCCTTCCTCCGTGGGAACTTGCTTCTCCCCCACCTTTCTTACCCTGCATTCCTTAAAACTTCCCTTCTGTTTCTCTCTCCTACACCTGATATTTCTGTGCTCTCTCTCCACTCTTGGCATTTTCTTCTCTCCTTTGCCTTTTTCCCCTCACTTGAGTATGAGGCTTGCTCTCTTTATCTCCTCTGAGTCAGTCTGCCAATATTCCAGGCGGAGCATTTGGGAAAGGGAGCCCAGTTCTAAGGGCACAGAGGGAAGTGGGTGAACTGAAGGTAACCAAAAGAAAGCTCCACTCCCCCCTCCCCCCCAGGCCGTACCTGCCAGGTGGCTGACAGCAGGCTGCTGGCATGCTTCTGCCTGGGCCAACGCAAGCAGGAGTGTCATGAGTGGTGACACATACCCACCCGTTTCATATGCCATTCCTATTAATCACGCTGCAAAGAACGAAAATTGTGGAAAATCATTAAAATTACAGATGGCTAGATTAAGTAATTAGAATTTAGGCTAAAGCAGATGTTTGTAATTAAGTGTTTATTTCGTCA